CTAGTGCTTATTTAAGTAGTATAACCTCAGGGGACGGATTTATTTTGGCTTCTCTTTTACTTTTTAATCAGATAAGAAAGGATATTTGATGACACTGCATTTCAAACTAACAGATAATCAAACAATTGTGGCTCACCTTACTGCAGTTGTTCATTTACTTTTTGCTAAAGATAGCCAAGTTAGTATTCTTTCCTTTCTTTCAAGAACCTAACCCATTTGCCTCTGTTCCAGACGGCAATGGTTGCTAATGACATGTCATTGAGAATATGGGTTAGCGAAATACTCCGAGGATTGAAGTGTTGCTTTTATTTGACCTAATATAATGCAAGCTATCTTTTTCAGAAGGAAATAAAAAAGCAGTTTCATTTCTTATAGTTTCTCTACTTACAGAAGCTATTTTATTTATTAATTTATTTATTCACTTATTTATCTTTTGGCTTTGGACCAACAGAGTTATGAATATTTTGTTTTTTAATCATTTCACCCCAAACAAGGCAACAAAGCCACTAAGATGCAAGCAATTACTGACTGTTAGAAAATGTGAGAAAAAAAAAACACTGTTAAGGAGGGAGAACAATAAAAGAAGAGGAATTAAGAGATATCAATTGACATTGCATTTCAATTTTTGATGATCAAAATCAACTGGGAACTGGAACCAAGAGGCTAGAAGTGAGTTCCACAAATGAGAGAAAAAAACGGTAGTATAGAATTTATATATATATATATATATATATATATATATATATATATATATATATATATTTCATCTCAAGCAACACAGTAAAGCCATTAAGATGCAAGGTGTTACTGAAAATATACTATCAAGAAGAGAGGACAATAAAAGAATAAAAATTAAGAAAACAGAAGATATCGATTGACATTGCATTTCAATTTTTGGACATCAAATTTGACTGGAAAGCAAGTAGCTGGAAAAGAGTTCCACAAGCGAGAAGTATGACAGAATAAACTGTTAGCATAGAACATACATCTAGCCATTTCAACTATAAAATGATGAAACCTTGCCACCAATCTAGTACTGTGCTTAAATTCATGAACTCTAGCTACCATAGAGGAAAGATCATCAGAACACTTACCACAATTGTATTTATAGAAAAGGCACAGGGAATGTGGTGGAAAAATACTAAAGATGAGATGCCAAGTCAGAACCAATAACATTGCAGATTCTTCATTGGATTTTATCATGTATCTCTAAATATATAACAGGAGCACCAGATCAGATGAAACAGCAATATTCAAAGCATGGATGAATGGTAGAATTATAAATATGTAAGATAGATTCTGGCTAGAAAAATTGCCTCACATGACACAGGGAACAAACATTCCTAGCAGCGCACCTAGCGATGAATTTGATAAAATCTTTCCACTATCCAAATATTATTTTTTGTTTCATTTTAAGATGAAAACAGTTGTAGAATTTTACCCCTTAATATACTTACATTTGCTATTTTCCCAGTTTCCTAGATGCATGGGTTACAGGGCTATTTGGGAATGAATGCCTACTGCAAATCCTCAATGTCCTGCATCTTACCATTTTGAGCTGTAGAGGATACTGCATAATATTTGAACATTTAAAAAGAATATTACATTCGGAACCTAATGTGTTGACAAAGATTGTATGTGTGTCTTTGTGTCTACACAAGAACACACACACACAGATAGATAGATAGATAGATAGATAGATAGATAGATAGATAGATAGAGGGCACCTCGAGGTGGTGTAATGATTAGCAAGCTTGTCTCACAAGAACAATTGCGACTGATTAGTGAGTTCAATTCTCACTGAGCGCCCCATACTTTCGGCCTTGTGCCACATCTAAGCTACGCTTGGAAAATCACTATATAGATAGATAGATAGATAGATAGAGAGAAGAAACTTTCTTTATATTTCTCTTTTTTCTTTTCTTTCTTTCCATTGCTTTTCCTTTTGTTTCTATTTCATCTTTTTCTTCCTACCTCCCCTTCTTTCATTTTTCTCTTTTCATTTTCCTTTCCTTCTATGTCTCCAGCTTTCATTCTTTCTTTTATTTTTCACCTTTCTTCCTTTCTTTTCTTCTCCCATTTTCTTTCCTTCTATCTTTCTAGCAACTTCATCTGCTTTTCTTTCTCTATATTTTTCCATCTATTCTTTATTATATCTTCTTCCAAAACATATTTTTCTGAATCTAATAACATTCTTCTATCTATCTATGTAGATAGATAGATAGCTAGATAGAATAAAAACAGAAATGAAGGGAAAATACCTAAAACACTTCCCTACTAATAAAAAGCTCACAAAAAAGAAACAGACATATCACTAAACAAAAACTAATAATTCTTAGAATTAAGAAATCTGAAATGGGATCCTAAACCAAAAAGGATTTCCCTGAGAGACACCAATGTATAACAATTATTCATAGAATAATACCAACTTATCAGATAATTATGATTGGTGTGAAGCTCAAAGTAATGCTTATATATCAATCTGTCTAGATCTGCATTTCTCAACCTTTTACCCTTGCGTAACCCTTAAAATAAATTACATGCCTCAAGGAACCCCTGTGCAAAAACAAAATTATATACCATATCTTTCTCATTTCATTTTCATCATAGTTCACGTGGTAAATATAGTATATATTTCTGAATAACTGGTTTAAGAAAAAAATTAATACTTCGTTGTTAAATTTTTTGGTAATGCTAAATAAAATTCATACTGTTCATTTATAATAGAGGGAGTTTTCATTCACACAAAAAATTCTAAACTCAAATGTAAGTAACCAATATCATTGATACTTGTTAAATAAGAAAAGGCTTGCTCACACATATAAGACATTGAAAATGGCAACAATATATTAATTGCATTCCTATGAATAGTAGGAAACTCTTCTTTCACAGAAATCCAGAACTTGTCCAGAGATAGGTCTGTATGAATATACTGCATGCATTTAGTAGTATTACGTATATGAAATTAAATAAAGAGCCAAAAGTGCATTAGTTTATCTCATCTGTTCTTGCGAAACACTTGAGAACCTTTTGTGGAAACTTAGGGTTCTAAGGAAACCCTGTTGAGAAACGCTGGTCTAGATGGATTCCTGATTGTTGCTGATAGATAGATAGATAGATAGATAGATAGATAGATAGATAGATAGATAGAGCAGCTCTTTGTCATTCCCAACAATTCAAGTGGGGGTAGGATTGTAAAATTATTACTCCCACCTCCTTCGCACAACCATTGATGAATGCTCAAGACGATCATCATTGAACAGGAGCTGCAGGGAACTGGCTGAGGTACTGCACCTGTATCTGTTACTAACTACAGTTTATTCCCCTAGCCATTGGCAACCCTTTTATATATATATATATCTAGCTTAGTTTGCAAACACTTAATAATAGATAATTTATTTTCTGTACCCAACACCAATATCAAGATACACCCACCTCACCTCACCTGTGATAGCCATAACATAATCTACTATTTATTCTGCACCTTATGTTCTAATAGTGGATATATTGGTGAATCTGGAAATAATTTTAGATTTCACTTCAACAATCATAAACAAACCATACGTCAAAACAATCCATATTCCCCCCATAGCTGAACACTTTAATCAATCAGGACACTCATTAGAAAACAGTAAATGTTTATTGATAGATTCTGATTTCAGTTCCACATACACACGCAGAAAAAAAGAAAAATACTGGATTTTAAAATTAAATGCATATAAACTAGGGTTAAATAAAGACTTGGGTATTTTAAATCTTTATAAATATTTCAATAGTTAAACATTTTTTAGATATAGTTAAATTTTTTTTATTTCTTATTTTATTTTTTTAATTTTTTAAACAACATCTTAGATATTATTACAGTTAGATTTATGTTAGGAATATTCGTTCCATATCACATGATGTCCGTATCTCGCGACAGACGCAACTTGTAAATAAACAGTTATTTCTGAAGAAAGATTGAGGCCAATCTGTAATATCAAATATATATACAAAGAAATACTTTCATAAAAGAACATTATTATTTTTTTAATTTGCAACTTTTTCTATATATATATATATATATATATATATATATATATGATGGCTGCAACGCAATTTCAAGTAATTCAACTAAACTGAAGAAAAAAATCAAATGATACCTCTGCTTGAAACATTTTTTCAGTGAGGAACAGATTTGCACAAATCCAATTTTCTTTTTCTTTTTAATTGTTTCACCTTAAGCAAGGTAATAAAGCCACTAAGACACAAGGATTTATTGAGAGTGAAAAAATATGAGAAAAAGAAAGCATTATTAAGGAGAGAGAACAATTAAAGATCAGGAATTAAAAAGACAGAAGATAACAATTGGCGTTGCATTTAAATTTCTGAAGACCAAAGTTAACTGCAAAGTAAGTAGCCGGAAGAGAATTTCATAAGTGTGAAGTGATTTTTTAGCTTTGTATACATGTGTCCAAAAAAGTTTTCATTATTTGATGCAAATGAAGTATTATATCAGAGTTTTTTTTTCTTCTAGATAGATGTCTTAACAAATATTATTTGTCTCTCACTCTCAGTAGACTTACAGCACATTTGCTTACCAACCCAGATGATTTTATATCCCTTTGTAGTTTCTAAAGATGTGATGGATATTTTATTTATTAATCCAACAGATTTTATTATTTAAACATTATTTTTAAAGGGTACCCATATTCGAGTAAACGCTCTGTTTATTTATTAAACATGATATTTATCTATTTTTGTCTCCTGGCTTGAATATTCGAGAGTGCATATTTCTCTTTAATAAGATTTCTTGAATATTCAAGCCAGTAGACAAAAATAAATATACTGTTTAATAAATAAATGGACCATCTACTCAAATATGGGTATCCATTATAAATAGCATTTAAGTAATAAAATCCCTATCTCTATATATATATATATATATATATATATATATTTGTGTGTGTGTATGTATAGAGACATACACATAAGGCAGATGGCTGCATCACATTCAAATATTCAAATACGGGTTCTCATATGATCACTGAAGTTAAACAATGTCAAGCCTGGTCAGTACTTAACTGGGTGACCACTTGGAAACATCAGGTGCTGTATACCAGGTTATTTTGAAGGATAAGGCAGCCAAGTCAGCTTGGGAATTACATCTATATTCATGTGTAATATTGTGGGTGTACAATAAAGTAATTTGAAGTAAGGATAGGAAGAAAAAAAATTGTTGCCTAATAAACAACCACACAGGTTATTGGAAATATATTGCATTTCTGGAATACGATATATTTGACAGGGTCAATTAACAGTCACAAATCGCATGAGATAAAATAACAGTAAAAATAAAACAGAGGTCTTTTCATTGGTCTTTGGTAAGATTAACCAGGAATGAGTAAAAAAGCATGATTTTCAGGTTAAAAAAAGTAGTGTCTCTCTCTCCAATTTTCTTTACAATTTTCAGTGGGGTTTTTGGCTTGGTAGCAAGTACGTGGCCTAAAATATAGGGAAATTTTCTTCCTCACTTTGTGTTGCGATGCAGCTTAGACCAGATACCAGGTTCATTGACAGGGTGCAATTTCTTCCAGTCAAATGCTTGTGGTTTAAAATTACCCTTCAGACAGATCATTAACCACAAGTGAAAAAACAAAATTTCTAGCAGTAGACAAGATTGTATTCTTGGGTTGTAACCATTTCTGTAAGTGATCAAGAGATGAGGCATAGGTGATGGGGGAGGTGCACAGTTTAGCAGCTGTCTTCCCTGTTTGTTCTCTGAGGTCCCCTATGTCCATCTGTGTATCTTTTTGTGGGATGTTCAGTTTTATAGATAACAATTTTCTTTGTCTTGTCATCTTTGTCTAAAAAAGCAATTTATCTTCTTTTCATGACTTTCTCTCTATCTGAGCCTCTTGCACTGGGAAGTTGACTTCACCCACTTATAATCATTGGTCAAAAGTAAATCCATTTTTGCTACAGGTCCCTCTGTTTTCAATTTAACAAGACTTCAGCTGACTCTTTCCGATGAGTAGTTGCAACTTTTCTCTGGTGGAAAAAATTAAAATTTGCTGATACAGACCCCATGTGTTGTGCCATTTATTATGATAATGAGGTGAGTTCTGATTTTCCATGAAGAATCAAGATAGTAGGATTTTGGATTATTGGCATGAGGATAGCTATATTTAGCTGTCCCCCCCCATGTAGGGTAGCATGTGGCACAAGGCCGAATTTAATGTGGGTCATCCGAGCCCGTAGGCTCGGCCAAAAATATAGCCTTCGAACCCGCCTAGGCGGGTTCAAGAGCTGTCAACCTCCCCGAACGAAAACTTGGCCTTCAGCAAAGCTTTGTCTGGGTTCCTCCCTGCTAATGCAGAGAGTTAGACAGACGGCGGTTGCTGTAAGTTTAATACAGCTATGGCCTGAGGATAGCTGATACAGCCCACTGTGTAGTAATGAATGTAGTCTTCCCAAACACCAGCACAAACCACAGAGTACTTAGTGACAATGGTACACATGTGAACACCCTCAATCAGACTGGATTTCCCAACCTTAAAGTATTTCTAATTGTGCTCCACTTGCAAGATTATCCATGCCTTTTATCAAAATCAGTTACCACAGGGCTTACAGCCATATTATGTTGATGTGCAATCACCAAAGTTAAGCAATGGTCAATACCTAGATGGGTGACCACTTGGGAATATAAAGTACCGTAAACTATTTATATTATTTGGACTATTGTCCTCATCTTTATTTATCACAATGTTTTGGCCGTTATACACTCCGGTCTTCTTCAGGTGGTTGGAATGTCTAACTGAATCCCTTATTTATTACATTGGGCTACATTGGTTTAGTTCTACATGTCTAATGGATGTCAGTTATCAGCTATCTACTTTTAATTACCCTCTCCAAGTTCTCCACTGCCTTAGCCAGGTATTGAACTCACGACTCTTTGGGTCCTGTCACTAGATCTTACCAACACCTTTATCCATTGTGCCATATAAACTTAATGTCTTCAGCAACCATTTTTTACCAGTGCTCATATTGCAATATTACATGTGTGTGTGGGGGGGTGCAATGGATAATGATGAGGAATTGTTAAACAGAGAGCCAAGTTCCAATTCTATTTGGGAATTTTATATTCACTTACTTGCAAATACCCTTGGGAAAGGTATGAATCTACCTACTATCCCACCAGCTATGGGTTAATTGTATCACTCATTATTATTATTTCTAAAAAAAAAAAATAATTTATATCTACAAATATATTATGGCTTTAAATAATGTGCAAAGGGTTGATAAGAGTTAATCAATCCAAAATCAATCATCATTAAACAAATATTTGGCTGTGATGCATCTACTTGGTATACTCTTTTCTGACTGGGTGGCATCATATGTATATTTGCACCCCAGTGTCACTTTGTTTATGGGGTACTCTCTTAATAATAAAAAAATCATAGTCACACAGATTTGGGCATGAAATAAGCTTTGAAATTATAATAATAATAATAATCATCATCAGCATCATCCCCCCGCCCAGTAACTTAGTGTGCTTATAGGGTTACTGCACATCTGATCACCTGACCAGTTCTACCACAAATCTGGGTTGAAAGCTGGGGAAGTATTCATTCAAGCATTGAGCAAGTAGACATAGTGGAGTCCATTCCTATTAATGTCAAACCACAGCCAAATTCCTTCAATTCAAATACTTGCTTTGGTCACAGACATGTGGCCAATGATTTGATTGAGAGAATCTTCCACTATGGCCACTGACTTCAGTCTAGGAAGCCTTCTGAACAGCAATGCCAAGTCCTCATCGCGCTGGTTGAATATTTAGCTATGTAGCCCAGTCCACCCCATTGAGCTAGATGGCTTATGACTCTAAAAGAATGTTCATCCAATTTTTTACAGGTTTTTTATTGAATTCTAAACCACCCTCTTCACCAGAAAAGCTTTGTTTGAAGAACCAGTTTATTTACTGATGACCTGGCAATGTGGCAGTTAGTATTGGGTTATATGGTAACAATAGTACTTGTAGAGTGACCTGATATGAAAGGAGTAATGGTTTGTAAAAGCATGAAAAAATTTTGTAGCTTTTTTGTTTTTTTAAATCATGTTACCTCATGCAAGGCAGTAAAGCCACTAAGACACAAGGGGTTACTGAGTGTGAAAGAATAAGAAAAAAAGAATAACATTATTAAGGAGCAAGAAAAACAGAAGAGTAATCAAGGAGACAGTAGATAACAACTGACATTGCATTTAAATTTTTGAAGATAAAAGTTGGCTGGAAAGCATGGAGTCAGAAGAGAGTTCCACAAGTGAGAAGTTCAAGAAAATAAACTGTTATCATAGAACTTACAATGTTTCCAATTCAAACTTGAATATTGAAGCTTATCATTACACATTTAATGTGTGAAAACATTTAACACTGGATTTTCAGCCATAAAGTTCATTGTCATCTGTGTGAGATATTAACACAGATGTGCCATTTAATAACACATTTTGTGCTATCAAATTGAGAAACTGATTTAATGCTTTAATGTCAAGTGTATTTTTGGAGATTGCTGTCTCAGCAGGGTTTGTTTGTTTTTTGCTTTGTTTTTTTGCTTTGAAAAATTTAATAACGATGACATTTTCAGAAGAAAATATTTAAAAATTTGCCGTCGCTTGTGATTGTGTTTTTTTTAATTATTTTTTTTATCTAAGCAATTCCAATTATCAATATACTGTCTGCAAAAGTAGGTATATAGTAAAGAAAAACAAAACGTTTGCACAAAACATATACAAACGTATCAATCATAACATATTACTGAATACCTAATTTTGCATCCCCCTGTATGCCAGTAGTCATAAAAATAAAATATAATCATAATGGTGGGTATTTCTTTTATTTTTCTTTGTTTTTTTTTTAATTCTCTTTTAAATAAAACTACAACCTCATTTTAACTGTTTTTGTCACATCTCGGTTTGAGTTATGTCAAATATTCTCGTCTCCTGGTAAAGATCACTCAAAGACTGTGAGAAATTAAATAAAGCTGAATAAACTAGAATTTATGACTGTCTTCAAACTCCAAGATGCCCCCTCTTCAGCACCTAATGAAGACTCAGAACAACGGAACAGATCAAACCAAAGTTACCTTGCCTGCACAGAACCCTAACTTTTCATTAATACTCATGATATATAGGATAGAGGTGACCTGACACTATTGATTCTGTCTTAATAATCACAGGCATTTAAATAGTGATGAACTGTTCTTCTAAGAAAGCATTCTATTCTTTTTTATGTTTTCTTACAAATGAGCTGATTTATTCTGATTACATTTGACATTTATTTTCAGACTGGATTTTGAGAAAGAAAAAATATCATACACATTTTCTTCCACACACACACACACACACACACACTTAAAAATAAAACAGACATATTATCCTCCCCTCCACACACACATATGCATACACAAAAATAAAACATTCTCTGATATACACACATACACACACTCAAAAGATCATGTCACTTTCAATTCATGACTGATTGGGCAGAAGGTTTTCATTTTGAGGGTTGCCTACCAAGGCTATAGGACCAAGTCTATCATACTATTTAACTCATAGCTAGGGAGAGAAGACATGGATTCATATTTTTCCCAAGGGTATTTGCACTTAAGCAAATGTCACAAACCTGACTGTAATTCAAACTTGGCTTTCTGAATTCTAATGCAGAGCCAGTATCCATTACACTGCAACACACCATACCACACATCACACACACATATACATACTAAAAAAAATATATATGTTATTTATATGGTGCCTCATTCTGGACAGACACTATTAATTATCAAGTGTATAAAATATATTTTTTTATATTGTGTTAATAAAAACAAAAAAGGGTTAACTTTCTTCCGAAGCAGCAACTTTAAATGACTGTCTTTTGAGTTGAGTATGGCATAGCTGTTATTGATTCCTAGGTACCAGTTCCTTATTTTCAATGTTTTTCACAGATTTCAATCAATGGATTCTCTGGCCTTCTACAGATCTATCTTCTTTAATCTAATCCTCATATGTTAGCTAATGATATATATATATATATATATATATATATATATATATATATATAT